ATATTCACCGAGAAACGACAAGAATGAGGCAGTCCATTGATGTCGATGAAAGAGTTGCTATGGCGTTATGGCGATACGGAGCATGCGCAGTAAGCTCTTGGTGCCCAACCTCCCCGCGTATCGGTTGCTAAATCAGTATTTGAGCGCCAGTGTGTGGAATCCTTTATCGGACTTATTTAGTTGTCGATAACTTTTAGTGGTCGATCACAAATAGTTGTCGACAACTAAATCCCTAGTCTGTGGAGGGACTGACTGACCAACTGGCTAATCGACTAACTGACCGACGGACTCACCTAATGACCAACTGACTAACTGACCAATTCAATGAATAACTGAGTGGCATGCGCAGTTTCATTCAAGGTAACGCAACATACCTGACTAGCTTGCGGCGACTGACGTCTAACATCCCTCCTCCGAGCAACTGTCACAGCGAAAAAAGATCTCAGAGATTGTAAATATGATAGTTACAGCACGTGAGGAAATTCTACCTATGACTATCGCAGTGATTTCTGAGTTCTGAAATTAAAGTAGCAATAAACGTCAAGACCCGAAGGCATCATATAGTCCAGAGCTAATCCATAAACCACAACAGAGGTGATACTGATTGACTTGAGCCAATCTATCTGCAGTCAGGAATTCAGAAGAGAAGACAGTCAACTAACGGCCTTAAAATATATTATTAAACCAAAGTCAGTTAAGGGCTGGATCAAGTTACCTCCTCGTAAGTAAATGATTCGTACATGTCATGCAGAAGTGAATAAAATGTTACTTTCTCTTCGTATAAATAGTCTCATAACATATCAGTTCGTCATTATTCTAACCAGAATCGGGGAGAGTCTGGACCTGAACGCTGGAATCAATCCCATAATGCCCACTGGTAATACCTACCCAAGCAAGAAATAACATTTAGGTTTTAGAAATCAAATCAAATGGCCGAACATACAAAAGATCATATCTTAATATCTACGGGGCAGAGTTGGCAGATTCAAACGGTAAAAGGATCTCTCTTCGAAGAAATGAATTTTAATGTAAGTTTTCATGATACATCGATCACACCAATTAAGATATTTCTGAAAGGAAAGTTTTGTTTTTAATCTCGCGTAATCCAAAAATCTACTGTCGATAAGAATTAAAATAGTGCAGCGGCGCTAGTGAAAATTAGCGGGAAATCACTAAAGGAGAGAATTCTAATGTGTATCCAGTGATCAGAATGTCGAACTATTAAGAAACTCCGAAAAATCAATAGAAAAGAGGTAGGGTTAAAACTGGGTCAAGAACGGAATTATTTTCCTTACCATTTGCTCATGCACTACCTCCGTAACATAGTGGTAAGCCCGCCTAATATACAGGAGGAAGTAACCACAAAGGTTGGTGTGTTAGAAGGTGTCTGTCTTTTGGCACGTCAAGGGAAATTCCCTGTGGATATCTTGTCTAAGAATGTCATGTGGCAATCGGTTGTGAATGTAACTGCTGCCATTTAGGCAAGACTGCATGTTCGATTACCTCTAAATCTCTTCAGTTGCCTCCTAACAACGAACTAATCACGAAGGAATGGCAGAAGTCGCGCAGGCCCTTCGACACTTTTTCAATTTCAAAGGAATAGCAACAGACAGTGAATCCCCATCACGTTCTTAAAATCCCCACGTCAGAAATTCGATATAAAAAGGCCCTTTTGAAGAACAATCGACCACTCTTATACAGCAGATCTCGGTCCAGCAGTTAAGGAAGTTAATTTCGCCGCGGCCATATATATAGAGCATACTTCTGCCGACAGTCTCGATTTTGACTTTTCATATGCCACCGTTCTGAGAATCACGGATTTCTTTTGCTTTTCTTATTTCATTCAAGGCCATGATTATTTTCATATTTGGTAGCAATATTTCATCAGCTCTTGAACTAAATATGGAGTGCCATCTTCAAACCACATTCCCCGATGAAAGGTCGCTGTGAGAGTTGTGTGAAATTTGGTCCCAGCGGTCG